TAACTTTTATTTGGGAGATTAGTTAATTTGGTCATGATATTAATTTTTGTCGAATGTATGAGAATGATTATAGTACACATTCTTTAAAAAGTGTATACCGTGTGCACCTTAAAACTAAAGAAAAAAAAAATAGTATTATTTCATACATTTTGAGTGATAACTAAAAAAATAAATAAAATTATAACCAAATAACATATGAGGCATATCCAAAGATTTCATAAGTTAGCTAAAGAATAAAATTAGTCATAACTAAAAAAAAAATAAATAACATAACATAACTTAAAGGTATATATGGTAGAAAGTGTATTGTATAATTCTATAATGTTGTGTTTGGTTGGAGAATTTGAGAAAAGATTTGGAAAGAAAAAGGAAAAAGATGTGTGAAAGTAGGTGAAATATAAGTATATTTTACTTACATTTTACTTATTTTTTCATTTTTCTTTTCCAAATCACTTTCTAAATCTCCTAATCAAATACAACATTAATGTAAAAGTGGATGATTTCATTCTTATAATGTAGTTTGATGGTTGAGCTCTTCGTGTTGTTTATTACTTTACCATTGTAAAGGCTCTTTGTTCAGTTGGTTTTTGAGATTTTATTATTACTGGACTATGATCATATACCTATGTAATTATTTTTATATTTGTAAATAATCTTTTAACAGAAAAGAAAATGGAAAAAAAAAATTAGGGTTGTTTATGGAATATTTTAAAATATTTGTCAAAGTATTTAACGCAGTTTTTAGTAATAGCAAAAGTAATGATTTTAGATTTTATGTTTAGGTTATCAATTTTTAACGTCACGTGAGTTTTTTTTTTAAAAATAAAATAAATAATATATAAAAACAAAAATTGTAGAGCTTTTCTTGTCACTCATCGCAATATGAAATTAAACGACCAAATAAAAAAAAATTAAAACTAGAATATTTTCATGGAAAATGTTAAGGATTTCAAAAATTTTATCAATATTATTATTAAATGTCTCATATGGGTATGAGACTCACATCATGTAGATCCTATGTGGATCCCACAAGACCTTTCATAAACATATTAGTAAAACATTTGAGATTCCTAACATTACGCTATCTTCATTTACATGCCTTTGTTTTCCTCAATCTCTTTCATTTTTACTATTGTATCTATCTTTTACTAGTTGTCAACCATGCGATGCACAAATAAAAAAAAAATTTAAACTAGAATATTTTCATGGAAAATGTTAAGGATTTCAAAAATTTTATCAATATTATTATTAAATGTCTCATATGGGTATGAGACTCACACCATGTAGATCCTATGTGGATCCCACAAGACCTTTCATAAACATATTAGTAAAACATTTGAGATTCCTAACATTACGCTATCTTCATTTACATGCCTTTGTTTTCCTCAATCTCTTTCATTTTTACTATTGTATCTATCTTTTACTAGTTGTCAACCATGCGATGCACGGGATTTTACAAAGTGAATAACATTAAAATAAAATAAAAAAAAATGCTATTTAATTGTATTATCTAATATGAATAAAATATTTTTATTTAATTTGCGTATATAAACCTTACTATACATCATTCAAAATTTTTAATACTTCACAACATGGAAAATCTTAGAAAACTATCATAAATTATGTAAATCATCACATAACCAATAGATAATGAGAGTTAGTTAACACAACCAAAAGTAGAGAAGCAAAAGCATACTTATAAGTAATCAAAATAACTAACATTAAACAAAAGAATGCTATTTTTTTCAATCAATAAGAGATATTATATTAATCATCCCACATAGTATAATGAATTAAAATAAAATTAATTTTAATTTCCATTATATTCAATTAGTGGTTAAAAGATTTTACATGCTATTTGTTCCAACCAAACCCCCCCCCCCTCTTTATATTGATTTACTAAACATAAATAGGTTTGGAAATGCATTAAAATTGAACTAACAAACATAAAGAATAGAAATATTAAAATTATTCAAAAAACCTAACATTTTAAATATGAGATTGATTGCATTTGCTCAAGCTTTGAATTTGCATAAAAAGACATTCAAAAAAAGAAAAAGAAAAAAAAGAAATTGTGGTTTATGTCTCAAAAGAAATGAGTTCTTGAAAATTAATTTAATCATAAGTTATTTCAACATGACAATTGATGATTAAATTTAAAACATGAAACCATATCCAAATCAATTTTGATACTTTCTTCGCTTTCAATCTAACATCTGCACCCGAAAAAATTAAATACAAATAGTCAATAAGTGAAAGAGTCACAAATTAATAATAGTAACACTTTAAAAAAAGAATGAAATCTCACTTAAATGATACATTATTAGCCAAAAAAGAAAGAAATAAAAAAAAATACATATTGTAAGAAAAAAGAAAAATAAACAAAAACATAAATAGAATTTAAGAAAAAAAAAATAATAATATCAATTTACATAAACTGTCTTTTCCTCAAACGCAAAAACTCATGTAAGAACACATTTCAAATGTAAAGTAGATGCAATTGAAAAAAAAAATAAAAAATAAAAAATCACTTGTGACTTGAAGTTTAATGCTATATTTTTTTGATACCGTGAAAGGGAGTCGAAAAGGGCTTAATGTTGATTGTAATTTTTTTTCTTTTTAATCTTATGTTTGTGGTTTCTTTTTCTGGCACTTGTTTTTATATTGAAAGATTAAGCTTAGACAAAAGATATACTTGAAATTCTATCATATTTAGAATTTATATGGATGATTAATTGATGATTTTAAAAAATAAAATAAAGTTCAACATAAACTTTGTAAAGATTAAGCTGAAATATATAGAAATCTATAACAATCAAGCTCAAATAGAAGATGATAAACTCCAAGAGAGAGAGTTATGAAGAAAATAAAAATTTAAGTTCAAATTTACATATAAAATAAGATAAACATGAGAAAATAAAATTTCAACTTTGAAATTTATCTATGGCTATGAAATTAATTTTCATTGGAAAATTAATTTAATAATTAAAAAATGAAGTAAAAAAGAAAACATGGAAGACAATCAAAAGGAATTGCTAAGTAAAAAAGAGAAATATTAAAATTATGGAAATTTACGAGTAATCATTTTAGAATTTTTCAGAACACATTACATTTGCTTATATATATAGTGTAGTGTAGTGTAGATTGAAAAATAATTAAAAATCATATCTTATTTAAATTTCACTATATCAAATTTTTTAATTTTTAATATATCTGATAGAGGGAGAGTAAAAATTGGAGTAAATCAAAATAAAGATTTAGATACAAATGTTTTCTATAAATATAAATTAACAAATCATATCCTTATCTAAATTTCATTATTTTAATTTTATTTGACTTTTTATTTTATTAAAAAATTAAAAATTAGGAAAATGAACTAAGGAGATTTCAACAACTACCACGTAAGAGAGAGAATGTTAACTTTCTTTGCAAAAATTAGTATTGAGATTTTGGAGAGTTATGAAAATACTCTATATTTGCGCATATATATAGTATATATAAATTTCATTTCTCTTTGCTATTTTTTTTTTTTCTTCTTTCTCCAAACACAGCCTTAAAGTTTAACACTAAGAAAGCAAGGAGAAAATATGATATTTGAACTTCAGGGCTAACTTTTCAAATTTCCAACACTCTATTTGAGATAATATAAAATTTAAAAAAAGAAAAAATAAATTAAGTGTTTGGTAACATTTATGTTTTTTTTTATTATTTATTTTTTAATTTTTATGTTTTAAAAAAATTTATACACAGATTTCTGTTTATTTTTTTAAAAATAAAAACTACAAACAGGTTTGATTTAAACAAAATGTTTGAAGACTTTCAAAAAAAAAAAAAAAAAAAAAACATGTTTGTTAAAATGTCATTTGTGTCTACATTAGGTTGAACACACAGAACAATATTGGGTGAAATACACAAAACAATTCAGTCAAATTGTAAATGAAATACACAGAACAACCAACAACAATTATTCTGTAAATTACTTCAAGAAACCAGAAAATGGGAAAATCATAAAACCCATGCTGTTAGACTTAGATTACACATTAATCCATCAACCATTAACCAGATCTGTGCTTACCTATTAACCAGAAAACCCATTAACCCATTAACCAGAAAATATATAGATTTGTGCTTAACAGAAAATAAAAAAACCCATGCTGTTAGACTTAGATTACACATTAATCCATCAACCATTAACCAGATCTGTGCTTACCTATTAACCAGAAAACCCATTAACCATTAACCGGAAAATATATAGATTTGTGCTTAAACGATCTGTGCTTGTGGATGTAGACCAGTGCTTGATTGATGGATGGATGCTGGTTGTAGGAGAAAATCAGTGCTGGATTGATCGATGCTGGTTGTAGGAGAAAGTGCTGGATCAATCGATGCTGGCTGTAGACGAAGACCAGTGACAGATCGATAAACAAGTTAGACGAAAAGAGAGGATTGACAGAGGTGGTGATGAAGAGATAAATGTTGAAGTCTGTTTTAGTTATACTGCTGCTAACACAAGTGGAAACAGAATCAAAGTCGTCCCCTGCTCCGCATTCCCCCGCTTTTTTTGGGGTCTCATTGTGAGTTTATAAACCAATGAAAACATCTTTTTCTTGTTTACGGAATTTGCCCAAATTTAAAATCTGATTGCAATAATTTATAAACAAAAAAGTTCACCAAACATGTTTTGTGATCATAAACAAAAAATTGAAAACGCAAACCTTACCCAACAGCCTTCACATTCAAATTATAATTTTTCGAATTCATTGAAGCATAATGAACCATAAATGACCAACTTTTCTGTCAGTTCAGTGAGACTGATTCATGGCTTGTAACAGAGAAGCTATCACTCAAACAAAGCAATGCCTTCATAAGTTCATTCTGTTTAAAGGTCACAATAAAGCCAATCAACCCCACAAGGAAAAGGGAAATCTTAAAACAGTTCCCAACACTGAAAATATTTAAATTTCAATTGATATAACAATAGATCATATACATAGCTAGCATTGAAAAATGATATTGTGCACATTATATTTCTAATTTCTGAGATCCATACAAAATCACAAACAAGGCCCCGTGTGTGGATAAATCCAGGGTTGAGAGAGCGATGATCTTGTTGTGTAGTCATACCTGACCAATTACAGCAAAAGAATCTGAAGAATGTATCCAACGCTGATAAAGGTGGCCGGTGATTTTGACCATCCAAAATTTCAGAAACAGAATGGCTTTTGCTCCAGCAATCAAGGCCAAATCAAAGGGCATATGAAGCCAACATAAGCTTGACTGATTGTCTTTAATTACATCAGAAAAATATCATTTACAACAGGGAATAAGTCCCAGAATTAAATAGTCAAGACAAGTTATAAGCTTTCCTAAACTAAATAGTAGATCAAGTTACAGAAACAGATGTTGGCATGTAGACAAAAAGTGTAAAGGAAAGTCCGATACTAAACCACCATAACTAACACCGAGACTAGATACACAAAATCAATCAAAGTAGGCCCTTAAAGTACTTATATAAGAATACACTACAGTCTGCAGCTAGTGTCTACATTTCCACAATAGGCATTCAGACAGTATGCCGCCTTCAAAAGAAAACCTCAGTGACATGGCTGCCACTGCTTCATAACAGCCGTTGCCAAAAGTTAACCAGTAACCAGGATGATGGATATTCAACCATCTTGGACAATTTATCCATCATTAAAAAAACAAATAAAAAGAAGAAAGAAAAGAAAAATCTTAAAGCATTACGAGCAACAAAGTGATTGCATGCCCAAATTTTCATCATTGTGTAATAGCAAGCAGAGGTACATTTGGGAAGCCTCCCAAAATGTGATGAAGGAAAGCATAATATAAAATACTACCACAATTATCACCCGATGCAAGTTTAGTTCACAATTTTGTATTTCTGTCAAGTGCTTATGTTTTTTATTTTTTTTATTGCACTTCAGCCCATCTACTGTGTTTTCAAATATTCCACTGTGCTCTGCTCTTCACCCCATACAACCATTGCCCTAAAGAATTTTCATTAATCCACCTTCTCTTCAATCCATACAATATGTTTTTTAAATATAAAATTATCCAACTGACAAAGTTGCAATTTTGCATTCAAAATTTTGCAGATGCTTTGTGTGGCTCAAATACAACCAGTAAACCATTAAACACTTCCCCACCCTGGATGGGAGAGGGAGGTTAGAGAAAATAGACGAGGGTATTTAGTCATATCATTGTTCAGTGCCACTGCCTGTTAATAAAATAGGAGGAAGAGCAATGCGAGTAATAAAATCAACATATTCAACACAGTATACAATGGAAAATCTATTAAAAAAAAATCCAAGAAAGACCCAATCCAACCACATGCAGGAGAACCTGCTGGCAAAAAAATTCCAAGAGTTAAAACTTGAAAAATGCACTTAGAAAAGGCACTGAGACTGTGAACTGTGTTTGGATCATGGATTTAAGTAGAAATTTGGAAAATGAAAGGAAAAAGAGAGGGAAATGTCAATGAAACATAAGTTAATTTTTTTCTGCATTTCCCTTGCGTTTTCCTTTCCCTTTCTAAACCCCTACCTGAATCTATGATCCAAACACAGGTTAAAAGAAAATTTATGATTGTAGTTCTCACAAGCTGAATCAAAGCACTCACCTCATAGGATTCTGTCACCTGATACTCCGACTATGAAGGCAGAGAATATCATGTTCTCCATTACTGAACTCCCCCCGTGCTAAATTGTAATTTTGCTAGACATAATTGGTTTCACCTTCATCACTTGCCTGTGTCTATTGTCAATACCGGCCTCAATTCTTTTACGTAATTCATCATCCAGCAAATCACCCTCTCCTGCTAAGTTCAGCACATTACAAACCAACCTATATGTATATTCTCTAGGAACTGAACATCCGTCAACCAACTCAACCACAAAATCTCGGGCCTCCAGCCCCCTTCCAGCTTCACACAGTGCATGGATAATTGGTGTGTAAGAACTAGAAGTTGGTATTCCATGACCCATCTTTTGCATCCTCCTCAAGGTCTCAATAGCATTGTCAATCTCATTTACAGCACTGTAGTATCTAATGAAAGAATTGTATGTGATCCGGTTTGGGAGACATCCCCTTTTATTCATATCATCAAACAATTCAAGTGCTCTCTCAATTCTATTAGTTTTACAACAACCGTCAATCAAACAGTTGTAAGTTACAACATCAGGAACGAAACCCTTGAAGAGCATAATCCGAAACAAGTGGTTTGCTTCCCACATCCTCCTCCTAATGGCCTTCATGCACCCAGTTTGCATGCTGTGCTTACAGTAAGAACTAATAATTATCGTGTACGTGAACGAATCAGGTGGGCATCTAAACCCTGGTAATTCCATTTGCTCCAACAAAAACTTCGCCTTTTTGAAGTTGCGTACCCTACAAAGAGCATGAATGATTGTGTTATAAGCATAAACATCTGGTTTACAGTGAAACTGCTTCATCCTATAGAATGCAGCCAATGCTTCGTTAACTAATCCCTCTTCTCCAAGAACTTTTATCAAACATGTCACAGTCATGGTAGTCACAAGGCCACCGTTCTCTCTCCTTGTCATTTCTCTGAGGAATTCCCAAAGAGCTTTCAAGCTATTGCCTCTAGCCAATACACAAGCCATCTCTCTGCAAGTCATCTCATTGTGGGTAAACCCGAAATGGGTCTCAACCCAATAGTAGAACTCCCTTGCTTTGTCCAATCCTAATTTGACCTTCAAGGGGTCTCTATAGGCAGCTGGACCAAGAACAACCAAACCTTTGCGATCTTTATTAGATTCTTCTCTAAGGTTTCTTTGTTTGAGAGGAGCTCGGTGTCTAAAGCTTTTCTGGCGACCAATGGACCTAGTAGAATGGAAGAAGAATCTTGGTATGGATCTCAACACCTCAGAGATTGTTTCAACACTCCATGGCTGGTTGGAGTTGGGAGTGGTGGTAGTTGAGGCAGCTAGCTGGGCATCAAACGGCTTGTTTTGGATGATCGCAGCCAACACTTGGTTTACAAGAGAAGTGTTACAACGAAACAGAGGTTTTGATGAGATCATCTCTTTTGAGAGCAAAGGGCTATAAGGCCAGCATTGCCTGAAAAAAAATAAGTTTAAGATATAAGGAAAGTTTCTTATCAATTGAACTAAGTCACTCAACCAAAATCCAATGTTTCAAATCAAGTAGATGTCTGTTATGGTTGAAGAGTCCAGTGGGCTGTTCATAATAGATGTCATGTCATATATGAAAAATTCAAAGTATGACTGAAATATGTTGGATAACTTGATATACATTGTTGTGCCAATGCACTAGCAGCTTAAGCTTTTATGACAATTGGAGATAGCAATAAAAAAACATGGATCCTTTAGGCAATTGCTGATATAATGATCTTTATTCTTTAATTCACCTAACCTTATTGGGGATAAATTACATTAAATCTATTAATTGAAGCATTTTAAGCCCAGAGAGAAAAGGTTATCAACCAATACCTTTTTAACTATGAAGGCATGGCTTCACAAATACACTTCCAAGATGAGAGATGAGTTCAAACAAATGACATATGTAACTGTATGTATAATCAAGACAATGATGAAGCAAAATTGAAACCATATACTAATCAAGAAAGCTCAGATTGAGGAGTACCTAAATTGAATTGTATTGAATTGATTTTATTTGGTTCGATCAACCCCCTTTCAACATTCCCAAACCCTCGCCCAATCCGCTTCAACCTCCCCAAACCTTGACCTCCTACCCCACTATAAATAGAAGGAAAACGAGTCCTCAAAGGTATGCGAAAAAACCTAACCTAATACAGAGAAGACAAAAATCTCCATCTTTTAGGATAGGTGTTTCAAGGCGATAGTGTTCGGTCATGGTGGCTACGAGATGTGAAGGCTAAGGGAGAGAGAGAGGGATGTAATCGACTAACGGAGTGTATGTTAATGTAGGATAGTCTTTCGGTGGGGTCACAATGGTTAACGGGGGTGTTTATGGTTCGATTTGATATTAAGGACAAGTTTGGTTATCTTAAATAACTACATACATTTTATTTTTTTATTTTTTTTATCATATTATTTTTTTATTTTTTTGCATATTTTTTTGTAAAAAGATAAAAAATACACTTATTTAGGTCATTCAAAATAACCCTTAAATTTAGAGTTAATCTAATCATGACTGGTTTTAAGATTTTAGGATCCAGAATCAAATCAATCATGTATTAGAACTAATCCAATCTAACTTAATGTAGATCAGGTTGGTTAGGTTGGAACCACGATTCTCCTATATTGAAAATAAATTAATCAATCAATAATAAATAATTAAAAAATTAAGAGATTGTTTGGGATGATCTAAATAAGTACATTTTTTTATTTTTTTACGAAAAGATATACAGAAAAGTAAAGAGGTAATGTGATGAAAAAAAGATAAAAAAAATAAAAAGATAAATTATTTTGGTGTTGCCAAACTTGGCCTAAGTCTTTAATACTAAACATAGCATAAATAACGAGAAAATATTATTTAATTCAAGTCAATATAAATTAAATTCAATTCAAGCTTAAATATATCCAATACAAATTAAGTTCATTAATAATAAAAAAAACAAATTAAATTAATTGCAAAATCCGTATGTGAGAAATTATTAGGGACAATCAAGTCCATTGTAATAAACCAATTAGGTGACAACATGTTAATATAAATAAAATTTAAAATATATTAGGTTCGGTAAACCAAAAACCAACCAAATCTGGGGGTGTTTGGGAACTTGCTTTTTTGATTTTTGGGTTTTTTGATTTTTTTCACTACAAGACAAATGTTTAAGAAAATAAAAAATAAAAAAAAAAATAAATCCAAATAAAATATCATATCAAACCCCATAATCATTTGAAGATTCAAAATCAAAATACACTCAAAAACCAACACAACCCAACCCAACCTAACCCAACCCAAAGAGGTCGGTTTGGTTCAGTTCGATTTTTCAATCCACTGAATAATTTTAACACCCCTAATTGCTAATGTGTGGAACCTTCTAGAAAATCTCTATAGAATGGTTAAACAAGCGTCTTATTTAATAAAAAGTAGGGAAATTGCATTAAAAAATCTTAACCATGGTTAACAAAATAAAATTTTAATATTATCAATTTAAATTTAATTTTTTAAATTTATTTTCAATTTAAATTATTTATCTATTTTCATTAAGTAATACCATTTTTCTGTTGATTTTACTTAACGATAATAAGCAGATGATTTAGATTAAAAGCAAATCAAAATATTTTGATTTTAGAGTTTAAATTGACAAAATAAAAAATTCAATGTTTATTTTGTTATAAGAGTCAAACCTTAGAATTTTTTTTTTCGCAATTCCTAAAAAGTAATAACTGTATAATTGTATTGTCCTAATTACGTGTCGTCTATTCCCACAAATTCTATTAGGAACGAGCAAGTTGTTCGTTCTATCCCCCGAGTAGTTCGATGGCTATTTTGCATTTTCAACCCTCAAACGCCTGTTTTCGGTTAAATTTAAGGCATTCTTGGGTCTAACTCCCAACCTACGCGTCCTAGTCATGTGCCACTTGTTCTCACAAGTTCTATTAGGCACAAGCAAGCTACTCGTGCCATCCCTCGAGTGGTTCGGGAATTGTTTTGCATTTTCAACCCCCAAACACCTTTTTCCGGTTAAGTTTAAGGCATTTCTGGGTTTAATGTCCAACCTAAGCATCCTAATCATGTGTCATCTGTTCCCACAAGTTGTATTATGCATGAGCAAGCTTCCCGTGCCATCCCACGAGTGGTTTAGGGACTGTCTTACATTTTCGACCCCCAAACACTTTTTTTTGGGTAAATTTAAGGCATTTTTGGGTCTAACTCCCAACTTATGCGTCCTAGTCACGTGCCATCTATTCCCACAAGTTCTGTTAGTCACAAGCAAGCTGCTTGTGCCATTCCCCAGGTGGTTCGAGGGATGTCTTGCATTTTCGACCCCATACGCCCTTTTTCAAGTAAGTTTAGGGCATTTTTGGATATAACTCTCAACCTACACATCCTAATCACGTGTTGTGTGTTCCCACAAGTTCTGTTAGGCACGAGCAAGCTTCTTATGCCATCCCCAAGTGGTTCGAAGATTGTTTTGCATTTTTGACTCCCAAATGTTTTGTTTTTTAAGCAAGTTTGAGGTATTTTCAAGTTTAACGCTCAACCTACGTGTCCTAATCACATGTCGTCTATTCCCATAAGTTCTATTAGGCATGAGCAAGCTACCTGTGCCATGCCATCCCCCGAGTAGTTCTAGGGATGTTTTGCATTTTCGACCCCCAAACGCCCTTTTTTGGGTAAGTTTAAGACATTTTCGGATCTAACTCCCAACCTGTACATCTTAATCACGTGCCATGTGTTCCTGCAAGTTTTGTTAGGCATGAGCAAACTGCCCGTGCCATCCCTTGAGTGGTTTGGGGGCTCTTTTGCATTTTTAACCCCCAAACACGCTATTCTTGTTTTTATATTTAAGCAAAGAGATAAATGAATTATGAGACAAACTTCTAAATAAGATTTATTACATATCCCTTGCAAATCCTAACCAACGGGAAGATCACTAAATACGAATAATTAAAGACAATCCCAATTCGCCTAATTCGCTATTTCTAAATAAGATTTATTACATATCCCTTGCAAATGCTAACCAACTGGACGATGTTCTTGAAGTCCATTGAACATTCTGGATATTTCGACGACTTCCAATGACGTTCAGAACACTCCGATGATTTATCGGTGATGTTGAACATTCCAGCGAGTCTCCAACGATCGTCTGACTGAAGTCCAACGATGGTAGAACGTAGCAGCGTTTTTAAATTTATTAAAAAAAAATAATTTTTGGTAACAATTAAAAATATGTAGAACTAATTAGTGCAAGTGTTTTGTTTTAAAACTAGATGGGTTTTGAACTTTGTGTATAGGACTTACTCGTAAGTGCCCCAATAATCAATATTTCACCTCCTCTACCAATTATACTATCATTAAGTATCACGTGGCCATATTCTCATACTATTGAATAATCATCATTGAGAGAGGCTAAAAAAAAGAACCAATATATTGAAGGCCTCGTTTGAAACTTTAATTTTTTAATAATAAGATGAAAAACAATTATGTTGGGGATGATTTATGAAATTTTTTATTGTTGAATAGATAGTCACAAGAGAAAAAATAATTGATTAATGGATTTAATATGATATTTTATCATATTGACTATTTTAATTTTTTTTTTTTTATCTTTATTGATTATTTTAGCTACCAAAAAAAAAAAAACTTAATGAAGATTTCACCTTGCTCAAAGAAGATAAAAAAAAATGGCGAGGGTTTATTGAGTGTCGCTCTTTGTTGAATAGATAGTCCAAAGAAGATTTCATCACCGGCGACGACACTCACCTCAACCTTCTTAGCTCCATCACTGCCTCTACCGTTGCATCGATCATCCTCAACGACCCACCACTTGCGACCTTTACCGTTCCGCCTCTCGTCATCACCATTGCAACTAGCAAAGGGAGAGAGAGAGGGAGAGAGATTTGTATTTGATGGAAGAAACTTAGGGTTAACGTTTCAGTAAGGCCAAAAAGAGAGGAAAGAGGTTAGGGTTTGAGGGGGAGGGGAAGAAGAGATGATGGCAGTGGTTAGGGTTTCAGAGGGAGCGAAAAATAGAGAAGTGTTCGTAGGAGGTTGAAGGATTCACGGCGGTGGGAGAGACTGCGTCAAAGTGATCAAGGGAGTAGATGAGAGGCTAAGGATAGGCGATTAGCTTGGTGGCCTAATGGGATGAGGATGGAGGATTGACTTGCTATGGAAGAGGAGGAGGATAAGACAGCAACTGGAGAGTTGATGTTGGCTATGGCTGTGGTTGCTAGGAATGACAATGGAGAACCTAGCCTGTGGGTATCCATGGAGATCCAATCCAAATACATGAGTTTTTTTCCTTTTTTCTTGTCCGTCGGGTAGGGTAAGTGATGTTCTTTAAATCTCCACTGGCAATAGGGCGGGGATGGGTACCCACTAATTTTCCTAATTTTTTTTTAGGTACATCGGAAAATAATTTCTCCATATGTTTTCACTAGGGATGGTAATAGGGGTTAATAGGATGGATATTAATTCCCGTCCCCATTCCCCTATAATTATTTTTTTTCCATTCCTTATTCCCCATAGGTATTACCCTCCTCATTTCCTAATGGGTTTGGATTTTCCCCAACCTAACTTGCCTTTTTTTTTTTTTTTTATTTTTTTTTTTTAAGATTTACAACCAAAGCTAAATATACCTTCAATCTTATTTTATTTTACTTGGCTCAACAACAAAATAAAATATACATTAATTAACATTGTCACATTATTCTTGTCCAAATTTATGTACATTTAGAATTTTTTAAATTTATTTAGAAAAATTCTATTTCTACAAAAAAAAAAAAAATTCCATCTTATTTTTTAATTTTTTTTTTAATTTATGTATCTCCTTCTCCTCTCTATTAATTGATCTTCGATAATCTGAAGGTAAGTTGTTACTCTCGTTTCCATCTTCTTCTTCTTTTTTTAAATTTTTATTTATTTATTTGCATTTATAAAATAATTTTTTTTTGTTTTAATATCTCCTGCAATTGTTTTA